TCACAGAATAATTACAGGGCATTGCAGCTTTGCGCGCGCCAGTTCGTCAAGCGAGCGAAAACGGGAAGAGGGAGACCCTTTTTACGGCTCTTCTTAAGAATGGCCACACGAGGAGCGTCGAACCCTAGGCCTATACGCCACGTGGCGGATCTTTCGGCCACGTATTTGACAAAGTCGAATCCCAAGAGACAAAGCTTTGCTTCGTCAGCCTTGTAGGCATAAAGGCATAATATCCTCATTACACAAGCATCCCATAAATAAAAATATTCCTTTATCAAAGATCATTGTTATAAAGTGACCACAGAACGGGTGGCGTCTGCGAAACCCGCTCCGCCCTTAAATGGGTGGCGAGAAAAAAATCATGACCATTGGAGAGGGTCTTTGTCCGTTGTTTGTAACAAAAGGTTAACATGGTAAGAAAATAAGATTTTTTTGTATAATCTTTTATCTAAATACCTGATGTCACTGAGAATATAAAACCTCTTAATTTAGCTTTGCCGATATTCAGCTTAGAAATATGTATATTTATAGTTATGCTCCAGATCATGGATTTAATAATTATATCAAGCCTGTTTCTGTGCACTTTGTTTTTAACTTTATTTTTTTTACCTGTTTTGTTGCCTTTATGTTTAGAGAAAACAACCAATACGAGTATCTATGAATGTGTGCACACGTGTCATAATTCTATTCCAACCATTCAAGTGTATACATGTTCGGAGTTATTTATATTGTCCAATACTATTTTTCAGGATTTTTTTCAATATATCAATGTTGTTCGTTGAACCCCTTGAACTGTAATTCTTGTTTCAGTAGGATTTTTATTCTTGATGTGGTGAGGGCAGGTCCAATATCCGTCTAGGAAATTCTATGTCAAAATGTTCATTTGATTTGTATGTTGTTGGCTGATAAAGAGTTACAGTTTAGTAAATCATAGGTTTTTATGTATTGTTGTCGCTTTAACTTTTTTTATGTTTAACGTCATAGAGGACTCAGATCAGCTGTTTGGCAAAAGATGTGCGAATGGAGAATGGTGTACCGTCTGCTTGTTATCGTAACATCTGAATTGGACGAGATATTTCCTTTTACTCAAATATTGATTTATAACAGTTTTTTTTATTTATTTCTGTTGTCCCAGTTCACTTTGCATTTGACTTAACAACATCCTCATTTGAGTCATGCAAAGTAGAACGTTTTACTAGATAGTCGAATAATTCTGCGCTTATGTTTCCACCGCACCATTAGACAGTTGGATACACACTACATGGCCAGATGTTCTCAACAGCTGTGGGGATTTTATTACTCGGCATTCCTTATATGGAGAACCCTAACCCTAACCTGCACTCTATCTATAAATATGAACATTTTTAGTGTTAATGGAATTGCTTAACCTCTCGTGAAGCCACGTTTCACATAATGTGCAGAATATCGACATTTCTCTCTTCAATCGTTTCCATTTAATTATTTCCAGCGTTACAATATTCCTCACTCAAGTTTAGAAACCTATTACAAAAAGCATTGTATATCATGTCAGTGTACTGCTCCAGCATGATGTACCCTATGTGTCCATGGTCAGCGCAGTTCCACTCATAGTTGTCTGGCGTGACCCTCCTGTTTCTGACACACTCTTGAGTATAGGCAAGCGAAAGCTTTAGCGTGCTGTCCCAGACAACCACGCCGGTTCCCTGTAACTGTTGCCTTGCTATGGAATTGTACAGGGCAATGGCTCCTGGGTTAAAGTCCGGATACATCTTAACCTCGGTATATGATCTCTGGAAGGAAGGATGGGAGACAAAATGAAGCAGTTAATACATAATCACATGGTTTGCACACGACTTACACAAGTAGATTAAGTTTGGGTATTCCAGAAGTTGCTCTAAACCTTTTAAGGAAAATGAGAGTAGATACGGCGACGAAAGGCACTACATAACGTCTAGTTCCCGAAAAATGAACTTACGACTAAGACTAAAAGTACCTATATACTATAGGGTCCTCAATGCAAATTAACTTAAACTTTTAGTCTTTGGTCTTAGGTATTGCAAACCCTGCCAGTAGTGGTAGGGTTTGTAAAAATATATTGAATAATATAAACTAGAAACTTTCTTTTTGCTTATGGCCATGAAATTTAATTCTTTTGGCCAGTAACTTTCAGCATCTACATGATTTTGGCAACAAATAAAGACAATGAATTGATTCTAAACTACTAAAAGGAGGTAGGAGAGCTCCATGGTTTGGGGAAGAGAAGACTACTGGGTGAGTCCCCTTGGGCTAAGGGAGTCCGCCTTCCTTCAAGTAAAGCCAATCATGGGAGCAAGAGGATATTGCCCACCAAAGGGGGATGTCTTCGAAAGGGCTACCATAGATATGTTAAAACAATGCGTGAACCAAACCATGGAAGAGAAGTGGGTAACCTCATCATCCATTAACTGAAGAACACTACTAATTAGTATAGCAGACATTGTGAACGAACTAAATTGGCCGATGCTGCCTAGTCCGGTCTGCGTGACTGTGTGCAGCAGGTATTATCTGTGAGTCATCACGTGACTGTGCACAATAACGAGAAAGTGAAAATTACATATTCTGTCAAGCATGGAAGTATCCAAATTTCAAAAGAATGAGTGAAAAAGGAGAGAAACTGAATAATGTTGGGCTGAGTTGCGTTCAATACCCGGATGTGGGTGTGTGTACACAAGCAGAATGTTAGTATAAAGGGAAGTGACGCATAGAATCATAATGGTTTGGAAACAATAAACATGAAACTTTTTTTCGGGAGATCATCCATAAGACTTTTATATAAGGCTGGAACTGTACAAAATGTGAGGCTTCCAGGCCTCCTTCCTGCCATCTCTCCACCCCCTTTTTTGCCTTCCCTCTCTCCCACTCCTTTTCTCCCTCTCCTCCAAATTCCCTCTTCTTTCACTCCTTTGCTCCCTTTCCCCCTACCCTCTCTCCTAATCCACTCTCTCCCTCTCGCTCTCTCTTTTCTGTGTTTGTATGCTTCTCCTCTCTCTCTCTCCTCTTCTTTCCTTCTCTCTCCTCTCTCTTCTTGTTTACTCATCACTACTTTCTATTCTTGTTACTATTACTTTTCCTCTAAAACACTTATCCTATCTATGTCTGTACTCTTCTATAATCACCCCTAACGTCTAGCTTCTCTTATATTCGTTTTATCTGGTACTTTTTTCCCAATTTTTCTCGCCTGTTCCCTTATTCCTTAATTCCTTCATTTCTACGATTCTATGGCCCGCCTCTTCCTAAATCCTGCCCTTTTATCTGGCCAAGGAAAATCTGTAGGGCCTGGAGAGCCACAGCAACCGCCTGGACACTTCGCCATATCATTACCTTTTTATCATTTCTTTTGATGCCTTATTCATACGTCGAAATGATTATTAATAGTAATGAACTATGAATCACTTGTTTTATACCAAAACATTGTTTACATTTTCCTGTCGGACATTTTAGAAAGATGTATATTTTTAAAGTAATCTGCCACTATGCCTCAGCTTTTTTGTAATTGCATTTTTGCTAGAAGTGTACAATGAAATCTGGAAAAGCCGATTTTTCCAAACTCATGCACTTCGCCCAAGGAAGGTCATGGAACGAATTGTTAATCTTAGGCTTTTGCATTTTTTGTATTCCAGGAATTGCTAGTTGACGATCAGCGCCGCTTCCTAAAAGGACGCCAAATCATCGATCAACTAGTAAAATTGGACAGTCATATTCAAGAGTCAAGTCAAGCTACACAGTGACAACAAATCAGCCAAGGTTGATATGTGTCCATCACTCCGGTATCCATGGCAATGAGCAGGCAGACAATTTAGCCGGGTCAAATGGTGAACTGGACCTTAGCATAGTCCGTACTGACCTCAAGTGTTTTGTGTCTCCTATAAAAGCAAAAATACATCTGTGGCGAAGTGAGTGGGCCAACCTAAACATAAACAACAAACACAGACAATAGAACAGTGTGACACAGCCCACAGGAAAGAACAGAAGCTGGTGCTGGCACACTTGAGACTCAACTTCACGAGAATAACCACCTCCTCCATTTATAGCAAAAAGATATCCACCACAAAGCCCAAACTACACATGTCTACAATAACCCATATCTTGATAACATGTCATCAGTAAACAATAATAGACAGATCCTAAAGAAGTATTGCAGATTTAAAAATATACTTTTCACAACATCCAATCTTCTCTCACAGATGACGAAAATTAATAAGCGAAGGAATCACTCTTCGAAAAGAGACCCTAAAACTGAGAGAATGAATAGGATCCCTTGACTTACTAACCTTGTCCGCATGTCGCTGGTTGATAGCCAAGAAATCCAACAAAAGAATATAAAAAAGAGCGCTCTCTAATCTTTTTTATTTACTCCGTGTTGCTAACTTTTTATTCTATTTATAACTTTAAGACTTTTATGGCTTTTAGCGTTCGTGGTCCCATGGGTAATGGTTATGGGGAAGACCATGGTTCAGACCAGAGAAAATGGAAATATTTCATCATAATGGGGGAGCTTTCCAATGAATGTATTAACGTTGTTTTTCGTAGCTTTTCTTTTAATGAATATTCTTAATGATAAATTATGCTAAAGTATTAGTAGAAAAATAC